AGAAATAGCCTTAAATTTGGGTATGATTTTGCAGCACTGCACAAATGTAGGCTACCATATACCAGGAATAGTAGAAAGTATGCTCAATTGTACTCTGGTATCCTTGAGGAAACATAATACTTTTGGAAAATGTTTCTATCCAATCGTATTTTTTTGTTGTTGCTCGTGATCACGGGACGAATCGGGATTTTGCAGGATGCAGGTGCTGGGATTGTCTCCAACTATGCTGTCCAATAATGTCGTTTTTCCATGTTCATTTTCAACAGAAATATATTAAAATTTCACTCTATGGTTGGGATCAATCCTGGCCCCTGGCCATATTTTGACAAAGGATTCAACCATGATTAGCCACTTTATATCACAGATGACACCCTATAATTTATTTTACTAACAGATCACACCTTATCTTTTTGTTAGTTATGGCAACACAGAAAAATAGGACATATTGACATGTAGTTGTTTTTCAGTAAACAGGACAGCATGCTAGGCATATATGTACTGGTTGTTATAGTAGTCTAGTGTTAATAGGCCCCGCCCCTTTCACTAGTTCTCTCTACAGTGACTGCCAACGTACAGTACAGTAAGCGCTTCATTACTCTCCACCTGTTTTATACATCAGGACCTAGGATCTCCTCCAGCAGTTTGTCACAACTGGATCTCACTGCTGCTGTTATGTGAATACAGTTTTTCATAAACACACATGTGGGAAAACATGTTTTTCCGACTGTCAAAATCACTCTTAAATCCCATACAGCAGATTACTATTTCCAAAATATTTCTACATCTCGTGAGTACACTTGCAGTGAAATTTATGTCAAAACTGCTTAAAAAGCCATTGGAAGATCTTAACTTTAAACTCCATTGTCTGTTTTAATCATACCGGAGAATGTATTGTTTGTTTTGCATCTTCAAATGTTGAATAGTAGCTTAGCGATTCATTTCACAGTGACATGTCTTTGAAAATGTTTAGTACCAAGTTCTCAGACTGCTGGGGGACATGAGGATTGGACATCGGAATAGTCATTCTGCCAAAAATATCCTACAACAAACCACAATGTCAACCTAAAACTAACATGGGCCTACAGTAAGAGGAGAATACGAAAGGAGAATACGAAAGTCACTCTGAGCCTGTAATGGAGAGAGAGGGGTCTAAGTGTTGTCCTGATTAGTACTGTTGAGGAACACCCAGCGTGCAGATAATGAGAAAAGGAACTCAGAAAACCACATTCACTATAAAAGCCTTCTAAGTAGTTATAAAAGCCTTCTAAGGAGTTATAAAAGCCTTATAAGTAGTTATAAAAGCCTTCTAAGTAGTTATAAATGCCTTCTAAATAGTTATAAAAGCCTTCTAAGTAGTTATAAAAGCCTCCTTCTAAGTAGCTATAAAAGCCTTTTAAATAGTTATAAATGTCTGCGAAGTAGTCTCTAATTATGGTGATGACTGAGAGAGGCTGTGGTGACCGCCCCTCACTGTATTCCTCTGAGAGAGACTGTGGTGGCCCCTCACTATATTCCTCTGAGAGAGGCTGTGGTGGCCCCTCACTATATTCCTCTGGGAGAGGCTGTGGTGGCCCCTCACTATATTCCTCTGAGAGAGGGTAATGGCCCCTCACTGTATTCCTCTGAGAGAGGCTGTGGAGGCCCCTCACTATGTTCCTCTGAGAGAGGCTGTGGTGACCCCTCACTATATTCCTCTGGGAGAGGCTGTGGTGACCCCTCACTATATTCCTCTGAGAGAGGCTGTGGTGACCCCTCACTATATTCCTCTGAGAGCGGGTGGTGGCAGGTTGAGTGGTTGAGTGGTCTTTAGGGCCGAATGGACAGATGCAGGACTGGGGGACCCAGTGATTTGATCTGGGGATCGACTTTCGCCTCCTGTCAGAGAGTGCCTCTCGTCCCCTCAGGACTGCCCTGGGGGTCTCTTCCAACCTGCCACCGTGTCTTAGACAGTATTGATAAATGGGGAAAGAGAGGTCCACACTCTATTGATTGGTTATATGTTTATTCCAAATTGAGAATTTTCTCTGTGTGGCTTCATCAGTGTAATCAGTGTGTGGCTTATTCAATGTAATCAGTGTATGACTTCATCAGTGTAATCAGTGTGTGGCTTCATCAGTGTAATCAGTATGTGGCTTCATCAGTGTAATCAGTGTGTGGCTTCATCAGTGAAACAAAACAAAGAAACAAATAACCTATAAGCAAACTGATGTATATAATATGTGTACTGTAACTCTCCTCTGATTGCTGTGCTGATTACAGTTAAACCAGCTGATCTATGGCAGCCATATTGGAAACAACACCTGTAAACATTTGGAAATTGATGGCAGTTTGTCCAGGAACAATATAATAGTATTATTTATGTGACAGCACACAAAACGCTCCCAGATTAACAAAAGGAAATAAGATAATCACTTTGGTGAGACTTGAAACAAGGGCAAGAT